CCCATGTCTTGCCTACGGGATAAGCAACGAATGTGCCTGGCTGAATGTTCCGCCTTAATCCAGCCTTAACTGTTATATAAAATCCTCTGCTTCCTTTGTAGGGGGTCGAGAGTGAGTTAGACATTAGTCACCTCTCCAGCTGTAATAAAGGAGTTTAGCTTTATTAAAAGTGATGTGATTTGAATCTTGTCTGAGTCACAAGAGATTCAAACTGTCAACCATGGGCATCATAGACCAACACATAACCAGCACACCACCAGGGCTCCATAGAGGGAAAGGAAGGCAGTAGCAAAGACTAGGTAGGCACCAAGAAGAGGTTTATCTGACATGGACCAGATTTATGAGACTTTTGGTAGAATCTGCAATTGCTAGGCTTTTCGTACGTTTATTTTAGAATTTAACATTAACACTTTAAAAATTCCCTCTGGTGCTAATGACAGCACAATCTTGTCGGTGATTGCTGTGTGCTGCTGACTTGATTTCCACTCATAGCAGCCCTGTTGGACAGAGTAGGGTTTCTCAGAGACGACTGCCTAAGGTGACCAGATTTAAAGCGGGACACCATTGACCGGCTGGCGGTTCTTGATAAAAAAATTTGGTCTATATGGGCCAAATAGACCGTTCCCTAGCTTGTCGTGCATTCTTTCCAAAAATCAGGACTTTTTTAAAATGCCAAAAATCGGGACTGTCCCAAATGAGCGGGATGTTTGGTCACCTTATTTCTTCTGCAGAGCAGCTAAAGGTTTCGAGCCACTGACCTTTCTGGTAGCGGCTGATTGCTTAATCACCGTGCCACCAGGGCTCCTTTTTCAGTGCTTGAAGACTGCAGGTGTTTTCATCTGAGCAGGCAGGTTGACACCTGGAGTTTGAAAACACTGAAAAGTCACTGAAGAGTTTTACACTGTGTAGATGGGAGGTGGTGCTAGGTCACATTTGAATATTTAGAATGATCTCTTTGGCCATTGTGTAGAGAATGGATTGAATGAGAACAAATACAAAAACTATGTGCCAGGATTGCTCTAGATTCTGGAAGTGGTCTTGAACAAAAGGATAACATTGCTGTCTCCAGAGAGCTCCCCATTTTAGTGGAAGAGGTAGACAATAAGCACACATGAATATACTCATGTATGCATAAGAGAGACCTGCACCCTTTTCTCATAAAATTTGAATGAAAAGGTAATGTATTTTTTCATGATTTTTTTGGAAAGCTCCTTCCCAAAATAGATTCCAGCTGATGATATGCGCTAGGACAAAAGTAAAGCAGAGCATGGGGGTATGGAGTGCAGGGGTTTAGGAATCCAGGTTGCTGTTTCTTTACTGGAATTGTCTCAGGAAAATCCCATTTAAGCAAAGACCTGGAGGAAATCAAGGAATTCCAGGTAAAAGTACAACAAATGCAAGGTAGGTGTGTCTGCAAAACAGCAAGGAGACCAATAAGGCTGGAGGGAAGTAAGCAAGTGGGGAAGTGGTAAGAGATGAGAAAGAAAGGTGGTAAGAGTCAGCGCATGCAAAGTGCTAAAGACCAGTGAGAGATGTTGTCCTCGACAGTGCACGAGAGGAGATGCCAATGGATGATTTTGAATAGGGAAGAATCACAACCTGAAAGAAGTTTGGAAATATTCACTCAGTTGCTTTGTGGAGAATAGACTTTGGTGTGGGGAGTGGGGCTAGGACAGGGAGAGCAGTTTGGAAGCTATTTGTATTAAACTAGATCAAGCCTTCTCATCTTCAGCACTACTGACATTTTGGACCACATAATTTTGTTGTTCTTGTAGGATAGTCCTGTGTATTGTAGAATGGCTAGCAGTATTCCTAGGCTCTACTATAAGCTAGTAGCAACCCCTTCCTCCTGCTGTGACAACCAAAAATGTCTACAAACATTACCAAAATTCTCAAGGGAATGAGGTGGGCAAAATCAACTGCAGTAAAAAACCCTTGATATAGATGAAAAATGATATAGACATGGAGGAGTGGTAACTGTGGATAGGGAGACATAGTAAGAGCCTCAATGCAGGCTGAAGGTAAGACACACAAGCTCTGTTGATACATTAAGTGTGGAATGTGTAAAAAAGATGAATCAAGATGGTTTCAAGAATTTTGACTTGACCCAATGGGAGCATAAAACTGCCATTTACTAAGATAGAAAAAAAAAACAGCAAGAAGGTCAAATTTGAAGAGAAGTCAGGAGTTAGGGTTAGGATATGTTGAATTTAGGAAACCTGCTGAATCCCAAAGGAGATGCCAAGTAGGCAGTTACACGTATACCAAAGCCTAGAGCTCAGGGATGAAGTCAGGCTAAAACTATAAATGGGAGAATCATTAACATGTATATGACATTTCAATACATGATATTAAACAAGCTTATCTAGGTAGTGAGTACGGGTAAAGGAGGTGTGCTTAGCAGATGTTATACACTGTACGATCCCCTTCCTTTCAATGTAGCAAGGACCCGGGAGTTGTTTCTATCCAGTAGAACATGGCAAGGTGATAGGAGTCACTCCTGGGATTCTATTCCAGCCCATAAGACTACTTTAATAGATTGAAGTGAGAGGCTCTTTTGCTGACCTTGAAGGAGCAGTCATGCTGCAAACTTTCTGGGGAGAGGGCCACTTGACAGAAACTGCATGTGGGGCTCTAAGTAAAATGCTGGGACCCTCACTTATGCTGGCACAGGGGAATTCATTCTACAAACAACCTGAGTGATTGTAAAAGTAGATTCTTCCCCAATTGGGCTTCCAAATGAGAACACAGCCTGGCCAATAGCTAGAGAAAGAATATGAGCAGAGGGCACAGTTAACTTGCGGGCGGAAACCAGGAATGCTGCTAAATAATCTAGATTGCAGGTTGTTGTTTTCAAAAAGTTTTATTCAGATATAATTCACGTATCATATACTTCCAAAGTTCATTTATATTCAAAAAGAGTTGTATATACATCACCACAATCAGTTCCAGAACATCCTCCCGACTTTGTATTCATTGTCTGCTCCACATTTCCCTCCAACCTCCCCTGCTGTATTGCCAATAAGCCATTATACCCGTTATTGTCTCTATACATCTGCCTATCCAGTGCTTCTTATCATAGAAAACATACTCATAAAAAGCAATTTTTTAAAGAAGAAAAGACCACAATATTAAATAAAATAAACCAGAGGAAAAACATCCTTGTCAAAGAAAAAAGCAGGCAATATTGAAAACTAAAACAAATCCAAATGTGTCCAAAGGGAGATCAAATAACCAGGTGCCATATTTAAGCTTAATTAAGTCTGCCATAATTGAGTTTATAATAGTCTCACTTTTCTCAACTGTGGTCCAAGATGATCCATCGGAGGCTTAATCTATGTAGGGATCGTGCAGATGGATTTGGGGGCTTCCACTGTTATTCATAGCTGCCTGCAATTTGGGTGTTGACCATTTAAGCTCTGGTAAATTTACCATCATCGTATTTGAATGTTGGTATTTATCATCCTTGTATCACACAGGATGATGTGCTTCTTCCATGGAGACTTAGTTGACATCTCACTCAAATGACTGCTTGTTTGAATATAAGCCTGTGGTAGTTATACATTTTCATGTCAAGTTGTTAAAAAAATGAAGGAGTGGAGTCTAGCCTGTCAATTAAGTCACAGCCTGATGGGCGTGGCCCTTGTGGGCGTGGCCTTCTCATGAAGATTCTGGGAACTTTGTCTCTCTTGATTCTGCCAATAAAAGAGGCGGGCCACTCTCTTTCTCCCTCTCTGCATCACATTCCAGTTGACAATTCCACATGGAGCAATACTGATGGCAGACAGAGCCCTGGAGATCTGTCCACTGCCATTGGATCCACAGGATTGTCCACCTACTGGCCTGTGATCTTCCTGCATTTGGCATCATTTCATGTGCTGTGCTAGTCTAAAGAGGAATTTATGGGCTAATATCAGACTTTTGGGCTAATATTAAACTTATGGGCTTGATCTGAACTGGGCTGGGATTTTTGTTGATACTACTTGATAAGTTCTCTCTTACACATATATGAGTGCCTCTGGATTTGTTTCTGTAGTCTACCTGATCTAACATATTATGGTACCTTGGAAGTGGGGTACTAGAGGAACAAATCATGAAGATGGAGAGTGGATGTGTGTCTGACCTCTGCCTCAGGGTAGTTTTTCCTCTTTAGCCAGAGGTCAGATGTGACCATGCAATTTCCTGGGTTGTTTTCTGGAAAGAATGTGGAAGTTAAAGTTTTGATTATTTCCTTTGGTTGTTGTCTTTGGTTATTCTGGTTTGAAACACCAAAAATAGATGTGATGAATATATATTTTGAGCTCAGGGGGAGAAATCTCCCCCTGAATTTCTTAGAGACCATGCTGCTTAGTGAAAATGGGTGACAGAAGTCAAAATGGCTGACAGAAAGCCTGGTCCTGGCTTGATGCTGTCAGAGGCCTAAGGCCATATCTTGTATCAATGGAATAGTTTTAGACAAGAATTAAGATAAGATAGATAAGGATTGAATTTGAAATGAGTTTAGGATCTGTCTGTACTAGGTTTATACTGCTTTCTTCTGCTTATTGTTATTGATATAATGATTGATAGAAATAATTATTAGAAAGTATAACTAGAGAGTTTGTAAGCCTACTTGCTTTCAGCCATCAATTTGACTCTTTACATGGGTTAGGACAAGCCTACAAAGAAGGCTCTGAAAAGATAAGCCCCACCCAGTGCTTTGGAATACTCAAGATATTTTCACTCAAAGAGACTTGCCTAGGAGGCTGTTGACAGACTGAAGAAGAAAAAACAGGTTCTTGGATTGGTTTAGACTTAAGTGCAAGCCCCAAATCCATTAACTTGCCTATGAATTATATATGTCTCTGGTTTACTTTAGAGACCTTATTATCATTTCATGATAAAAAACATTGCCAATGTTCCCTTAAGGTATAAGGTAATTCTATTGTTAGTGTCATTAATTTATCTAATGGTATAGAATTACACATGCTATTGAAAGAAAGGAAGTTATGTAAGTATAGGAAAATATGGAATGATTCAAAAATGTGTGTGTTAGCATTATTCAGGGGCCGTGCTGATCTTCTCTATGTAGCTTCAATTTTTGTATATGTTCTGCTGACGTGAGCTCTAGAATACATGTTGACTAAAACGAACCAAGAATGGGGAATGAAAACAGGAAGACCAGATGTGCACACCAGTGTTTTCTAGTAGTGTTTGTGTTTGCTCACATACACTTTAATAGAATTTAGGTTCACCTTCAACATTTTTAAGTTTACATCTGAAATTTTTCATCATCAGTTTTTATAACTCTTTTATTAGTTAGTTAGAGATTCAAAATATGAAATAGTCTCAAAGGATGGAATTGATTTAATTTGAATGGATTTTTTTCCTAATACAATTTTATTTTTAATAATAAAAATTGTGTTTGCATCTTTTTTATTGAATAAATCACACTGAGTACAAAATTAACAGAAATATATTT